ATATATATATATATATATATATATATATATATATATGGTATTAAATTATAACAGATTAAAACACAAGAAAACTATGGCATATTTTAAGTAGTTGGTTAAGTGAAATATATGTACGGCTGATTATTATGAACTAAAAAAATGACATGACTTTATTATCCAGAAAACTTAGCAAGTATGGTGAAAAGATGACAGCAGCACTTCCAAAAAATTCAGGCAAGTGATCTGTTGATTTTCTTAATGAAAAATATACTTTTGGACTTTCCACAGTTGGCTGAAGGATGTATGCATTCATTGACATTAGATGCTTCCCATCTGAAGCAGAGGGTATCACACATATACAAGAACATCTTTCTTTTTAACATGTTTAATGCCACCTTATGTGTTCATGCACATACCTGTAAAGATAAATAAACACATCTCTTCTAATTTCTCACTTTTTACTTTTATTTAACTATAACCAAAGAACATGGTATACAGCTTACACAGTGATGCTTTTTTAACATGTTTAATGCCACCTTATGTGTTCATGCACATACCTGTAAAGATAAATAAACACATCTCTTCTAATTTCTCACTTTTTACTTTTATTTAACTATAACCAAAGAACATGGTATACAGCTTACACAGTGATGCTTTTAGTAACATTTTATAGAAATACAGTGTTCATCAATGTGAGTCTTTTTGTTTTTTAAGCTGTGAGACATGGTTAGTAGTTTCTGATGCCATTGATCTCATCACTAATCTTTCTACTTATAAGAATTTTGTTTGTAATTAGTGTGAATACCATGTATAGAAACTATATATTTTTTCCTAATTTAATGAATGATTAGATTTTGTTTTTAAAGTCAAACTGTATGATCCAGAATATGTTAATGTTTTCTGCCTTTGTTATTGACAATATGGACAGTCATCATGAAATTACTATTATTGATTATATGCAAGTATTTGACACATACCATTAAAACAAAAGTTAAGGAGTGATTTTAAAGTTATGTTTCTAAAGAAAATTTAACAAATCAAAATGTCATATTCCTTCTTTTTAATGAAAATGTTTACCCTCTGGTTTAAAAGTAGCCAGTTTTTAACTATATCTTATGATTACAAATATATGAAAAATATTGTGACATGTCAAGAAAACTGCATTTGGTTCCTTCTTTTTAAAGAAATTAATGGAATTTTGAGACTCAAATGTAGAAACATATTTCTATCACAAATCAAAAATTAGTGAGTTGTAAACGTAGTGATTATTTTCATTGTTATGGTCATTTTTCTTATATGCTGTTGATTTATAGGTATCAACTTATTTTTGTGGAATGTGTGGGAAGAACATGTGAAGATGGTTTTGGAATATTTAGAAATTAAGAATATGACCTCTTTAAATTTGTAAGTATCTATCTTTGTAATTGTGGCTTGCTGCACATCATCTAATTTAATTGTATCTGTAACTACTGTAAAATATGTTGTTGGTAATTTAAGGTAATAAATTGTACACAATAAGTGTACAAATTACAAATTTTATTGCATTTTCTATAATCATGAAAGTTTATTAGAAATCCTGAATGACCATAAGAGCTTTCTTTTTTTTTATAAGAGAAATGTGTTAGGTTATTAAATTTGACAGTAGTAACTTGGTTAAATATGTGTTGTTATATCTATATATATTTATTCATTAACCAAATTTGAACATTTAATTTTCACTGAAGTTAGTAACGGAAAAGACTCAATTTGTATATGCCAGTTGACCACTCTTATGATTATATCTGTATCAGGGAAAAATGTTCTAAACTAATTATTTTTTCAGGAATCCAAAAACACCATTAGATCTGGATTTGTTTAGCTCATTCAGTGAAGAGATTTTGCAAAAGCGCCACACCAAAGAAAATTGTTCGAGAAAAAATAAACGTAAGTGGAATGTATTATATGATCATATTTCTCTGCTAATATTTCTGTATGAAAAATTACCATTCCCTAATTTTACTTAAACAGTTTTAAGAGTTCAATAATTTTAAAAATTTTAGTGTCAATGTCTTTAAGACTGTTCACTGAGCTTTGTTGTACTAGAATATTTACATTGAACGTTTTTTTTTTTTCTTTTTCATATCATACATTACAAGTAACATTACACAACACATTCTGGTAAACATATCAAAACATTCATCACATATAAACTGTAGAAGAATATATTATCTTCTAACATTAGGAAAAGTTGTCTTTCAATAATTTATTTGTTGGATTAACCAATCTTATATACCATCAATCTTAAAAGGTCCAGATATTAATTCAACTACTTATGGCATGACAAGCAGTAAGGATCAATTTTACCACTTTTAAAACACACATTTTTTTGCTGAAGCTTATTATAAATTAATTTTTTTAGTATCAGTGTAAATATAGAGCAACTAATTGTTAATGAGATGTAATATTTTTTGTTTTTGTATATCTAAAAACTTTCATAAATCTTTCACTTTTCATAGTCAACTGTTAAAAGAATGAAAATATTTTTAAATTGGAAGAATCTTTGTATATGCATGTTGTAGATATAAAGTAAGTATGGCTACTTGGAAGAGTATAGGGAAAATGCTGTAATATACCTTCAGAATATTTCATGTAGTGCATTACCACTGATTTCTGAGAATGAAACTATGAATGTAGTGACTTCATTGTTGCCACTATAATTTTTGTTGATTTTTTATTTGGGGAATGATTCTGGTGTGCTTATGATGATATACCCATATTTTTAGAAAATTTAGCATAGACTTTAATAGAATAACAACAATAGAGAAAAATTACTTGTTTTCATACTGTTGTAAACATTTCATGACCCACTAAACATTAAATAAATGTACATCGTGGTAACTTTGTTTTTTTGCAATTATGGTGACATTTATCTTAGGGTCAGTTTAAGAAGAAGTGCTACTTTGATGTAAAATCTCATATATTTTACTCTGATATTTGTCTATATAATAATGCTTTTTACTAGATAAATTTATTTAAAGCTTCATACACAATTACATAAGTGGTTTATAGTCATTGTATTTTCAGGAAAATTATCCAGTTATAAGGTGCATGGAGTGATAAAGAACATTCTTCATAAACTTACAGTTCCTATGAGGAATACCCCACTGTGTCCGTCGACTAGTTTTCCTCTGTCCAAAACATTATTGCACTATGTAACCCACACACTGCGTAATGCATCTAGCAGTTCACAAGTCTCTTCTCTCAGTAAACTATTTTATCGATTTTCTTCATCAACCCTTCTCTACTTAACTAACACTGCCAGATTCCAAGATATTGTCTCATCAAAGATTACTACATGCACAACTAGAACAGCCTCCTCTGAAAGCACAGAATTCCAACAAGCTTCAGATAGGGTTTGTGTAACTACTGAAACAATTCCAAATTCTTTTTATAGAACCCTAGGGAAAGACAGTTTAAGAACATATAAAAAATCAAATGGAAGGACTAGTCTAGGTGAAGTACTTTTAGATCACGATGAGTTTGCTTGTTCTCAGAGCAGTGTACATGATCCATATGATTTTCATTATGATTTTGAACAAGAAAACATTCTGAATGGAGAAAATGTACTTAATAACATGAAAACTGATTTGCCATTGATTGCCAATGAAACATTATTAGCTTCAATAGATAATTGGAGTAAAAAAATATCAAGAATTAAACCACACAAAAGTTACTGGATAAAACACTTTCATAAGGTAGGTAAGCAAGATGCAGAAAAGCTACCCAGTGTTTTCTGCTGGCTTCTAAACCTGTGTGGTTTTGTAACTGAAATGAGTAATTCTGAAGTGTATAAACAAGTAATTATTGTTGAAAAACTTTTAGGTTTACACAACAGAACGTCTGATAAAATGTCAAAGATAAGAAATCTTTCTTAGATATATGTTCAAATACTGACTATGCATGGAACTTAATTTATTTTGCTCTGGTATTGTTCTACCACTTTGATGTATTATGAAACATGAACTTGTTCTTATTGCCATATGTTTTGTAATTTCTTGTTACTTCTTCTTTACAGGAACTCAATTATTTTTTATTTTGCATTTTTCTAGCAAGTTATAGCAACATCCATATAATCAATATTTCTGTTTTTAATCAAAGTTCGATTATAGGATATTTTAAAGTTTAGTCAAACAGAGCAGGAGTCTAAAAGATTGAAATTTAGCATTAGTAAAATTTCAAGAAGCATAAACATTTACATTTTGTTATTAAATTTTTTTAATAAGTTAGTTAATGTTGATCAGGCATCATGTAAAATTAGAGTTAAAATGATCTAGTATCCTAGAGCTTTCAGAATGCAAGAGTTCCTTCACTAGGAGCGAACGAGGGAAAAACATTTTCCATTATTCTCATTTCAATATTGTTGAAGAAAGCTCAGTCTTTAAAAAAAGTTTGAAATATCAGATATTCATACATAAAAAAATATCTATTTTTGTGATTACACCTATTTATCTAGTACTTACTCATGGAAGTAATGTGTGATCATATTCTTTGAAGGAATTTTGAAATATAAATATATTTTTTCAGTGTTACGGTTTTTAATTATACACCTACATGTTGTGGATTGTGCATTATTTTGTGTACAATTTCTTGTCTTGGAAATTTTGCTTTGGATATTTAACCCTCACTACAGACAGGTCAAAAGGCACATGTCACGAAGTTTTCAAATTATTTTCAGAGTTTAATTAAAGAACTTTTTTAATGATATTTAGGTTTTAACTTCTTAATTAAATTTTTTTTTTAAATACTGATTATGGGCTGTCTTCTTGTTCAGTTTATATATTATTGCATCTCCCATACAATGTCTATGAATAATAAACTCGAATTCCAAACATATAAAAGCTAGAATATCAAATAAAAACCTCCCACCTTTTTGATTTGTGAGATATCAATATATTTTTCCAACCTACCAAGGTAGCCCACCCCTACTCCATTCTTTTGAAATCTCTTGACTACTCACACTTACTTTTCTAAAGTACATGTTTATAACCAATAGAAAGAGCACAATCCAAACAATGTAAATATGAGAGTCGTTCGTAATTTGCTTGAAGGGGGAACTTGTAATTTCACTAGAAGTGTTAAAGTCTGTTGACTAAGTTTTTGCTCTGAACATAAATTAGGTTTTTTAATTCACACATATAACAGTTAGAAAACCAGATAAATTACAGTGGTTTTAAGTGTTCATAAGCATTTACACACTGTACACCTATGCTACTAAATTCCCACCACCCCGAGAGGATAACTAACATCCAAATACCTACCAAGTTTATTGGATTGGTCCAGACTGTACAGAGCTATATATTTTATTACACTATTATTACTTTAAATAATTTTCATCACAACCACCTTACTGTAAAATAGCCAATAAATCCTCTCCCACTGTGTTCTCGGAGTTGGTATTATGATACTCTGTGGGAAGATTTTTGGTAATTTTCCATGCTAGTTTATTTGTTATCAACAGTGTCACATAAAGAGTCTAATGGCAGGAGTTGTGATTCATTGCTTTAGGTTTGTCAGGTTTCTACTTCAGCTGCTAACAGTAAAATAAACGTAGATGTGGAAAGGTTAGATGTAGAAACTCTCAGGAGAAGTACTTTGGAACTTCATGATCAGTACTAAATAGGATAAAGTAGTACTACTCACTTTAATTCACCTTTTTCTACCTTTAATGTTTTATGGCGATTATGAGGTCAGTCAAACTGACTTATCCGTTGTAGAGTTACAACAGAGAAAATATGAAGTTTTCAGAAAAAATATTGATATTTATTTAGGAAGTTTTAGAGATTATACAATTTTAAGATGAAGAAAAGTATTTTTAAATCTTAACATGGAAATCAATTTACACCCAGAGCAGTCAACATTTTGACTCCATATATTCATGAAGAAATTTTTAGTAAAAATACTTAATGAAAAATTATGTGAAGATAAAAATTTAAAAAAAGTTTTATAGTATGACTATGATAGTCACTTTGTAGTCAGGTGATCAGTGTAATCCCCCAAGGCAAAGAAAACATAAATATCAAAATTTAGATGTTTGATAAAACCATCTGTGACTTTCACTTAAAAACACTACATGTTACATGTTTTAATACATTTCTAAGTCATCTTCAAAAGTTATTTGCAAGATAGTTTATACTTTCTGCATGTCGTGAGGTATTACTTTTCAAAATTATTTAAGTAAATCACTTGCAGTCTAGATATACATCTGACCACCAACAAATGACAAAATGAATATTGTGTGTATTATAATGATTATACAATCCTCATAGAATTTGGTAGTAATTAGCAATACAGACTTCTAACCCCACCTTTAATAATAAACTTAAGTTGTAAGTTAGATAACAGAAATTACCTAACATATTTAGTTCAGTTATTTACCTTATTTCAGTAATTCACTTGGCCTCAAAATTAATAAATTTATGAACTATTCAACTCTCTAGTTTGGATTTATGCTACCATGAAAATATTTTACACAAGTTAATCATCATAGCATTAACAGTGATTTTGTCATATATTCTGATTATTTACCTTGAACTTAAATGGACAGCAGAAGGTTATCTAAAGCAGCCAGTAGTTGACATCTCTCAATAGAACTCTAGCAAATGGATTTTTTTTTTTTTTTTGCAATTGAAAGATATCTCTTCATCTTCAGATTTCATTGACTGTATGAGTGTCAAATTGCAGCTTCTTCCTGCAGTGTTGATCTTCTGTTTGGTGTAGAAGTGTCCAGGCCTCTTCGTATTTAGATGTTTGGCCATACAGAAAATATATCATCAACATATTGGAGCCAAGGAATTTTTGAAAGATTTATATTTATGGAAGGAAAAAATTTCATGTTCAAGTGTTGCCGGGTGGCATATTCTATATGCTCTAAGAAAAAAATAAGAAATAATAGTTTTACACTGTTTTGGATGTGCGATGATGATATTTTTCCAACAACTGGGGTTAGATGTCCTGCTAACCATTTAGATAATAGGTATACCCATGTTAGAAATTATAGGTCTCAGGGGACTGTGTTCTTATGCAAACAAAATAAAAAACACTGACCTAAATATAAAAACAATTAAGTTTTGACATTGAAGCTTTATTTACCAACATAACAGTTGAAAAAAACCATAAAATTTCTTAAAAGAAAATTACCCGAACTGAACATATATTTGCCTTTTCCTATTGACACTTTTATCTTTCTTATCGAAATCTGTGCAAACAACAATGTATTTATCTGTCTTGGTCAATATTTTAGACAAAAATATGTAATGACCATGGAAAATCCACTGCCTCCAGTACTGTGCATCCTTTTCATGGAATATTTTTAAACTGAATTAGTTTCTTCCATAAATATAAACCTTTCAAAAATTATGTAAAACACTGACATTGAACCCATTTAAAAAATATTAAGGAAGAATAACTTTAGAATCATATATAAATATCAGAACACCATTAAGAATAACCTAATTTCAAATAGAAAAACACCTGAAGATAAAATACAAGGCTTTTATATTATATTATGCCAATCTTTTGAGAAAGGTTATGTTGGTAAAACTGGAAGAAGAGTTTCTGAACATAATAAAAAAGACAAAATATGGAAACCAAAACAATGTCATTTTTCTTCACATGAGAGATTCTGGCCATCAAATTGATTGAAAATCAACAAGAATTTAATAAAAAACGGATATCTACATAAAAAGAATCATCAAAAGCTGCTTATAGTGACCTTGGGAGGTGATGAAATTAGGCAGGCTTTTGATTAAGGGAACAACTAAATTCTTCTCTCCCAGATATGCACAGAAGTTGGTTGCTATGCCAGGACATCACACAAACTTTCTAGGAAGAAAAACAGTTGAAACTTTATACATGCTGTACCAAAATAGACAGCAGTCTTTTCTGCTTTCAAGTCAGATGATACAATAAAGGTGTAATCTTCCCTTCCATTGAAGCAAAAGTAAACTTCAGTAACGTAGTGACATGAATGCCTCAGACAATCAAGTCTTGTTTGTGTGTATATATATATATATATATATATACACACACACACATATATAACTCTTAGTTATAAAGAGTATAAGGCAGAACTACAGAAATATTCAGATAAAGCAGAGGTATAGGTATAAAAACATTACATCACTTCAAGTTTCAAATAAAGACCATTGCCTGAACTGAATCATAATCCTCTCTCTTTCTCAACTAAAGTACACATTTACACTTCAGTGAACTTAAACTTGGATTGTGCTAGTGTACAATAAAGATGTGATTGTGTATATGTTTATCTCCAGTCTCTTTCTTTTTTGTTAAACACAGTCTAGGACAAACAAATTCAGTCAACAACTTTGTAATACAGTATCTGGTTATCCTCTTGTTATTCTGCAGTTTATACCCAGTTCACACTGAGAAGAATCGGTGAACCTGAGAATACCACAGAGTATATAGGAGATTTAGTGCTGTAACCACAGATTCTGTTACATCAGAGTGTCTCTTTTTAGACAAATGTAATTTCATGTGCTTTTCCAACTTCTTGTGTTATTAACACTTCACACTGAAGAAAAAAACATTTTCCACAAGGCAAAGGACTTATGACTAGAAAGAAAACTCGGTTGTTGAAGGTGATTAGTTGTCTGAATTGTTGGATATAGAATGGCAAATGTATCACTGCAGCCTCAGCTCCAGGATGGAGGAGTACCACTATATGGTACACCCAAAGTAAGTGAGGAGGTACTCCCTGGAAGGTTTAACTTCGGCAAGCAGGAGGTTCGTACAACTTAGGATCATTGTGGTGGTGTGCAGTATAGCGAGTCAGATACTGAATTGGGTGGTCTCTTTAGAAGTCACAGGTGATCACTGACCAAAAATAGAGCAACCTAGGCTTTGGTCTATACCACCCCTGATTGATTGAAAAAGACTGAAGATGGCATTTACCACCAAGAACTGTTTTGCCAGTTGGTGAAATGGCAAGTATTAAGTGGTGAATTGTGTAGGAGTTTTCAGTTTTGCTGGGCAGGGAAACCACGAGTCACAGAGGGGTCTGTGGTTGAACAGAATTGATAGATGAGATACCACAGATATCTTGCCAATCTGAAACCTGGGAGCATATGTAATTACACCAGCAGAAAGGAGGGAACAGGCTGATAGTTTTAGGTAGAATGGCTTATGCCAAGATCACGGTTACGGATGAGAAATAAGAAGCAGATTTCCCCTTGAACATTTAAGGAAACAGCAAAGGAGAATTTGGGATGCTTCATCATACATTTCTGGCTGGTGATTGCTTGGAGTGAACGGACTCAGGAGCAGGCAATGCAATGCCTGCCTCTGAACTGGGATGGACCAGTCCTCAATAACTTCAAACAGTTAAGTGAGGTGTAGCTATGGTACTGTAATATGGTAACTTCACTTTCACCTGATGGAAAATTGAGCTTTCCATCGAGCCAAGTTCAAGATTAGAATGAGAAGTCCCTTTGAGAATTGAGTGCTAATGGAAATTATCTATGCCATTTGTACAGGAAATGTTACATGGCAATGGCCTCTGCAAACCACAAAGGCATCTTTCTTGATAAGTTTAAAGAGGAGTTAACTAATGAGACAACTTGGCACCATGTGGTAATGACAGAAATTCTCATCTTCATTGATGAGTTCTAACAGGTTGTAGGAAAGGGAAAAGCCCCCAGCTGCAGTGGCTGTACCTAGAACATACTGTTTTGCTTCTGTGGATAATTTGTGTCAAACTTGAGCTTCTCCAAATATAAACAAGCCCACCAGTCACCGTGGTGCTGCTGCACATCTGCAACAGTTCCCTTTGATGCTTTTGTCAAGCCAGTGTTGATGATGCCTCTCCTAAATCGTTGCTGTAAAAGGGAGAACTGAAGCCCATTTTTTGAGTGTGGGCAGCATGATCACTGTAGGTTGAACTTCAGGCAGCCAGATAGACTAAGCAACAAAGCTTGACTAACTGCACAGTAGATGTAGAACTACCAGCAACAAGATTTAGCTGCTGCTATTCCTGTTCTGGGAAACTAATGAAGCCCAAGTTGAAGTTGGCCATTGACTCAGGGAAGTGCAGCAGACAGCTTGTGCCAAAGGGGTGGCGAACAGCCTAATTTTAACAGGGCTGTTTGGAAATTGTTACATGTCTATAAATATACAAGAATGAGCAATGGAGATCCTGGTTAATACAGTAGTGACCAGAATACTTGCCATAAATCAGATGGTTTGAGTGAAGCTATTGATGCAGTCAATATTCTAAAAATAACAATGCCAATATTTTTAGTATTAAGGTACTGTTCATTTTACTGACAGCCACTCTCACTACAAAGTAAGGGATGCCGTATCTATGGGGCATCACCTTACTTACAAGTGGAAAAGGTCACTGTCGATTTATATATATAGTGTGTTTGACTTTACAGCAATCTTTCCCATGAGAAAATAGGTATGAAATTCTTATTGACTGACCTTGTTCCATGAGTAACTGTGTGAGAGCAACTTAGTGGCTCCTTTGATAGAATTTGTATATTCAGAAAAACACACACAATATGAAGGGTGATTTTGAAACAATGATTTGTATATCAACTAAGCGTGTAGGAAATGCATGGTATGCCTGCACACCACAATCTCAGAATTTGTTAATATTTTTCTAGTGATCACTGATTTGTTTAAATCAAAGTCATTCATGATGTTAAAAGCACTTAAAATTGGTTAGCAAACCTTTACTTTTAGGTAGAAAAAATCTGTATATTTATTTACAAAATATTAGTTAGTGATTAATTAAATATTTAATTAGGGAGCTAAAGACATTGCTAACATAGCCAAAAATTTTAATTTGAAAGAAAAGTCAATTTTTTTCAAAAATTAGATTTTAGGAAACCCATGTGGACTTTCTGAAATTTTGTTGAAGTGGTCAAAAGTAGGAAAAGAGATTACCTATGCATGACATTTGAAATCATCTGGAAGCTGTAAATTTATGCACACTTAGTTGAGAGTGTGATTTATAGATATTTCATGAATTTCTGTTTTTTTTATTTTGACAGTACTATTCTGAATCAATCATTTATACTGCACATGTGCAGTCTTCATATAACAGATGGCCAATAACGTCGGTATGTTGATATCCTTCTAGCTTCCTTTGTTCCATATCCTTCTAACGAGGTCATACTTGTTCTGTCCATGGAAAGTATGGCTGTAATGTTGCACGTTTTACAAGAAGGTCAACATCTGATGTCCTTCAATGGTAATGCAGATTGTATCTCGAGGTTACGTTCTTCCCCATGCTTGAATGAGAATGAACAGTCAGTTGGATAGCTCTAGTCGCTCTGAGTTAATTCGAAGTTACTTGAAAAGTGAGCAATGTTGAAGTTAGACAGTCTGGTGGATTAGTTCAGCCTCATCAACTGAAGATAACTAATCCAGTAGAAGCGACCGTTCCATGTCCGTAAAGCAGTACACACACTATGTTTGTGTCTGTGAATAAATTTTTAAATTTTATTTTCCATTGTGATTAGTTTCTTTCTTTCACGAACTCAGTTATCTAGAGATTCAGTACCACTTCGTAATATATATATTGTAAAACATCTTGTTATTAAGTGGACTTGTCAAATTGCTTTAAGGTTAAACTCAGTTTTTGTGAATATACCAAGATCACAGTAAATCTATAAAAGTATATCTGGGGTTCATTACATCAAACAGATATTTGGACAGTTCGACTCCTGCTCTCTACTGAGTTTTTTGGCCAGGTGGTTAGGGTGCTCGACTCACAATCTGAGAGTCGCGGGTTCGAATCTCTGCTCCACCAAACATGCTCTCCCTTTCAGCCGTGGGGGAGTTATAATGTGACGGTCAATCCAACTATTCATTTGTACAAGAGTAGCTAAAAGAGTTGGCGGTGAGTGGTGATGACTAGCTGCCTTTCCTCTAGTCTTACACTTCTAAATTAGGGACGGTTAGCGCAGATAGCCTTCATGTAGCTTTGCGCGAAATTCAAAACAAACAAACAAAACTGAGGTTTTCAGAAAAAGAGACCAAAACATCGCCCACTCCTACATTCCAAATTGACACAATCTCTAAAAACGTAAAATCTAATTTGATTTTTAGTTTTCCTGTAAAGTTGCAAACAATTTTGTGTAAGAACATTTCTTTAAATTCTTTGAAACAAGGAACTTGTGTTTTGCTAAAATTTGCGTACATTATAATATAAAAATAATAAAGTAACTAACAAAGATGTGTTTTAAATTTTATTGCGTGAAATTGGATAAAATTTACAATATACGTCACACCTCGTCTAATTATAAAACCTGTTGTAACATGATTGGACTACTGTTACGACGTTTAAATCGATGAGTATCCATTAGTGTTTACTTTACTTAGTACATTTTTTATAGGAACATATCTTGAAAGTCGAACTTTATCTTAGCATCTCGTAAAGTGAGATGGACATATCAAGTTTTAATAAACAAAAGGCATGTTTGCTTTCAAAGAAAATTTGTAAATACATACGTATAACTTTGTTTTTATATGGAGGAATGAAAATTCGTCATTTCTAGTAACTAAAAAAACGACAGTAAGAAACTCTTTTTACATTATTTCGTAGAAAAGTGTAAAGCAACAATGTGAATTCAAGTGGTTGAATTCGATAGAGTACAAATATATCATAAAATACATTATTAATATTAACCTCTAATCAGAGCAAGCTCCCTGCTAAAAATAAACCTCCTAACGAGTATAGCTAATTAAATATATTTTTCTTATGTTCATTGGGATAAAGATTAGAACTAATTGTTTCATCATTTGGATACACTCGCTGTTACTTTTTGCAGAACTATAGCAATTCCTCGATGTTACTACTACTTAATTTGCTAGTCAAAGTGGTTAACTATACTTAGAAGATTATCCCAGAATTTAAAAAAAAAAATCAGATGACACAGTTGGGTCAGTAAATTTAATGTTTTAGCAGTGTAAAAGAAATAAACATTTCTAGTGCCAAAAAAAAAAAGGATTATTGTGTTAGCAAAACAATTTATAGTTTAACATACACACACAAATAAAATATTGCATTTATAAAGAAATTATAATATTAATACCTAAAATATATTTGCTATCGTTAAAAAATCTCGAATTTTTCTTTTACTCTAACGAAAAAGTATTATACCTTTATATTTAAAAATAAGATGAAGAAGGTGCTAAATGCCAAATATTACAAAATGGATCATCTTCACACAATAAATTTTGGTTATAAACAACATTTCTGCCCTAGAGGTCGTACAATATTCTGGTAACTATGCTGCACTGCGTACAAGGAGGAGGTACCATTTAACACTTGGAGACGTGGCTAGGGAGAGATTGAAAGTGGAGAAAATAGAATCTCTCTTATGCAGGAAAGGACTTTAGGTAATGGGGGATTATAGCTTGGATCTTTCATCAGCTGTAAACCACATATCACTTAGTGAGGCTAAGGAAGTTACAAATAACATATCTGTGTTGTTTTCTACTAACGTTAAGCTGAAGCCGGCAAGTGATCAAACCGGACAGACTTGTTCCGGTGAATCAAATGACGGTAACGATAACATAAACGTTACAACATCCGGTAAGCCAACGGGTAAAACAGATATTTCTAATGGTAATATAAAACGAGTTACATCTGAAATTGACATTAAAGAGAAACTAATGTTTGAAAAGTCTAAGTCTCTTGGAAATGTTGAAGGTGAAAATGGTATTTCATACAGCGGTGTTACCGGGGATAAGTGCAACTCTACAGCAAATAACGGTACTGTAAGTAGTAATATTACTCAGCATACACGATCTCAGAGCCACCCTCAGAACTTGTGTCCTCTTTCTGAAATAGAAATCGAGGACTCGAGGAGAATCGATTCAAAAAAAAGTGCAGATGGGTTTGCATTTCCTGTAATGCAGTCTAATGAAAATACAGCGATCCTTTCGAAAGATTGCTGCAATCTAACAAATGGTAGGCCTAATAGTTTACTATTGAAAAATGGAGAAAATGATAAATTAATATTAAGACATGAAACATCACCTATATGTACAGCAGTTCCTACTACAGTACCCCAAGAAGAAATCTCTCCACAGCATGACTTTACTGAACCATCAACCCCTTTTATAATGCCAGCTTCCACAAATTATTGGGCATTTGTTGGGCAGAATTGTGAAGAGTTTCTTAGTGGAATGCACACTGTCAATGGTAATTATTCAGTACAAAGTTCTCAATTAAGTACTACACCAAGCATAAATCATATCAATTCAGTTTTAAGTGCTGGTTTAGGAAACCAGGGTCACTCTGTGAACAGTTTCAGTAATAATTTACTTCCTCAACAGTACCAGTATCAAAGACGGGCAATTACTGGAGCTCACAATTTTGGTCGGGGTAGGCATGAGACTCAATCCCTAAACCAGGGATATTCAGAATGGAATAATCCATCACGGACATGGTCTTTACCACAGTCTCGTAACTCTGTACTTCCATGTACATGGAATACACCAAGCTTGGCAGCAGTACAGAAGCAGTCCATGTCTAATACAGAGTCTCTGTTGAAAAAGATCCCAGTTTCATGTGGACATTTGCCGGCTTCACCGTCCAAGTTTCGGAAGAATTTTACATGGCCTTTTGGCAATTATGCTGAACAGCAAGATTTGCATGCTAACCTTCAAGGAGAAGATGTAAGAGAAGAAACAACCCTATTGCCTTTTCAGGTATGTTTCAAAATTATTATAACTTTTAAAGCAAGTAACTTCTCTTAAAACAAATAAGATTAGTAGTTCTATAATGTATTAGTGAATGTGTCAGTTATGATTGTTTTGGTGATAAAAAAAGAAGTTATTTTGCCAGTTGTAGAATTTTAGATAACATTTGATCATTTGATAATTTATTCTTAAATTCCACAAAACACATAGTATATTATAATATTTAGTGCTTAAATTATGGTAAAAAATAACTAAACATCCTGAAAGTAATATTGGAATTTACTCAAAAAACAACTTTTAATGTATTTGTTGTTAAAAATTTGTACATAAAATGTATGTTGATGTACATGCAGAATATACCCGTCATTGTCTAAGCAAGTGTATGTATTTACTTCTAAACTTCAGTTATCATTTACACAGTGGTGTTAATTATTTGTTAATTTAATTTAATCTTAATTATGTAAAACTTGTATGTGAACATACAATTAGAATGAATACTTATATATAATTATTCTTTTCTAGGAACGCCAAATATCTGGGAGTTTAAACACAAGTCCATTGGATCGACTCACGTATCCCCTTGAACAGCAAATTTTAGAAATAATGAAGACTGTACAAGTAGATGGCCAAGAGCCTAAAGGTAATAGATATTGAGATAAATATTATGTTAGTATCACTATGCAGGTTTAAATATTATATTCAAAATTTCATTGGATAGGTATTTGGATGTGGAAGACTATTGAAGTTGGATTTTGTTTTTAATTTACAGATAGGGTATGACCGTGATGTGCTAATTTACCTTCTTTTATCTTGTCTTTTTATGTTTTTAAATGTTCTGTTAACTAGTCAAAGAAGTATGAGAAATTCTCACTAGACTAATAAGAATATAGTAAAAAAATGTGTTAACACTGATAAGAATCCTGTCGGTAAGAAATTTTTTGTTGTTTATTTAGCCAATTCTGTGTAAGAAATTGTCTGTGAACCCTTTGTAAAGTTGTTCAGTTGTTGCTATATCATATTTTGTTTGTTTGGAAGTTGTCTGTAAAAATCAAGATGTACAGATTAAGTGTTGAGTAGTTCATAAATTCATAAAATTTTAAAGGGACAGAAAGGAGCTTATTAATCCATCAAGGATGCCCCTTTCAGCTCCCAACTATAACCAATCCTTATTACTCATGTATTCATCCAATCTTTTCTTGAACTCAGTTAAATTTTCTACCTCCACCACCCTTGAAGGCAGTTCATTCCAAAAGCCAACCACCTTATTTGAAAAGTAATACTGTCTTAAACTGCAGACAAATCCTATGCTGTGAAAAATTGGAATTTATGACCCCTTGTCCTATTTTTTTCACTGCTAAACACAAAAAAGTGTAACGGATCTGTTTTATCAATACCCTTGATAATCTTAAACACCTCAATCAAATCCCTCCTGACTCCTCTCCAGAGAAAACAAGTTTAGAGATTTTAAGTCTATCCTCATAGGACAATCCCACCATCTCGGGTATTATCCTCGTGCCTCTTCTCTGAACCTTCTCCAACAATTCAATGTCCTTCTTGAGAAAGGGAGCCTCAAACTGTACACAGTATTCTAAATGAGGCCTTAAAAGTGATCTATACAGTGAAACAATACTATTCCTTGTCTT